TCTTAAAAGTCAAGGGTATGAGGTCTCATATTAAACCCCTGCAATACAGTTAATGTGTATTGGTGCCTTTTTTGTCCCTAACACTATGTTAAATTATGCGGATTTGGGAGCTTTGGATCTATAGCAAAAAGAAATCTGGGACAGCCAGGCATGGTGGCACATGCCCGTAATCCCAGAAATTTGAGGCAGGAGGATTACAAGTTTGAGGCAACTTCGGCAACTTATTGAGTCCCTGTCTCAAAATAAAAAATAAGGGCAAAGAATCTGACTCAGTAGTAAAGTACTTGTCTAGCATGCATGATACCCTGAATTCAAGCCCCATTTCTCAGAAACTCTAAAGAGCTGGGGACAAACCTCAGTAGTGAAAAATGCTGCTGTCTCTGCTGCTGCTGCTGATGATGATAGTAATAATTATTTAAAATTTTAAAAAAATAGACTGTGGATAGATATTTACAAGATGGTGTGATAATTCCAATTGTGGAAATATTTACTAGATATAAAAGTAGCAACAGAAGAGAGGAATAAACTCTTTCGTGAAAGGACAAAAAGCTTCATGAAAGAGGAATTTTCATATTGAATTGAAGGATGGACAAGTCAGCATTCTCTGTAGAACAAGTTCAGACAGAGACCATTTGTGGGAAATATTATAGCAGTCTGCTAACTCTTAGAATTGAATGGAGTTAAAAGCTTGTTTGTGCCCGGTTAATAGAAGAGTCTCTAAGAGACACTAAATAACATTTTCATATGATTTATTGCAATAGTTCTCAAACTTTGGTATGTATCAGAAGACACTTGTTGAAACACAAATTGTTGCAACCTACCCATAGAGTTTATTATTTAATAGACCTGGAACAGGACTGGAGCATTTGCATTTCTGATAAGTGCCCAGATGATGCTGGTCCAGGATAATACTTTTGAGAACTATTGATGTATTGAATCCTTCCTGTGTATCTGGCACTTTCAATGTGGTGAGCACACAGAGATGAAAAGAAAATATCCTTGCTCTAGAATTGTTCATGATAGAGTGCCAGTGACAGATCAATAAATATATAATGATGGTACAGTGTGATGGATGTTATTTACATAGAAACAGGTCACTGTAAGAGTGCACCAAAAGGGCCTCTAATTCAGAAGGAGGCCGGAGACTAGAGTTATATATAAGACTCAGAAGAATATCTGTAATCTTGAACTGAATTAAAAACAATTATTTATAAAAAAATCAGGAAGTAATAATAGAAAAATGAGTATGAATCATGCTTTGCACCAGGCTGGTAAATAGATTCATTCTTAGTTTTGCTTTTAAGAGATTTCTATTCAGCAGAATCTACCAAATTATGCTATGTCTATGTACAAATATATCAATGAATCATGTGTGTGTGTGTGTGTGTGTGTGTGTGTATAATGATATGTATACTATATAGGTATATATATATATATACACACACACACACACATATATATATGAAATGCACTGATTAAAATAATAATTATTATAGAAGGGAGATCAGCAGAGTAAGTGGATCAGGGAAAGGGAGAAAGGGAAGGTACTGGGAAAGAGATTGAGCCAATAATGTTGCATACATATACAAATGTGGCAAAATGAATCCAACTATTATTGTGTACCTATAATGCACCAATGAAAAAAGCAAGGAAAAAGAAACTTCTGCTCAAAATATTTATTTTTTATTTTTATTTTTTGATTCTGAGTCACCTTTCTTTCTTTTTTATTGATTTTTTTTAAAATAAATGACAGCACAATGCATTACAATTCTTATTATACATATACTGCACATTTTTTCATATCTCTGATTGTATATAAAGTATGTTGACACTAATTCATGTCTTCATACATGTACTTTGGTAACATCATTGCTAACCCCTGCCCCCTCCATTTCCATCTTACCTCTCTGCCCTATCTAGAATTCATCTATTTCTCCCATGCTCCCCTTCCATACCCCACTGTGAGTCAGCCTCCTTATATCAGAGAAAACATTCAGCATTTGTTTTTTTGGGGGGGGATTGGCTAACTTCACTTAGCATTATCTTCTTCAGCTTCATCCATTTACCTGCAAATGTCATGATTTTATTCTCTTTTATTGCTGAGTAAAATTCCATTATGTATATATGCCATATTTTTTTAATCCATTCATCCACTGAAGGGAATCTAGGTTGGCTCCACAGTTTAGCGATTGTGAATTGTGCTGCTATAAACATTTATGTGGCTGTGTCCCTGTAGTATGCTGGTTTTAAGTCTTTTGGGTATAAACCGAGAGAGGGATAGCTGGGTCAAATGGTGTTTTCAATTCCCTAATTTCCAAGGAATCTCCATACTGCTTTCCTTATTGGCTGCACCAATTTGCAGTCTCACCAGCAGTGTATGAGTATACCTTTTTTCCACACATTTTCGCCAACACTTATTGTTGTTTGTCTTCATAATAGCTGTCATTCTGACTGGAGTGAGATGACATCTTAGAGTAGTCTTGACTTGCATTTCTCTAATTGCTAGAGAAGATGAACATTTTTTCATATATTTGTAGATTGGTTGTATATTCTCTTTTGTGAAGCATCTGTTCAGGTCCTAGGCCCATCTGTTGATTGGGTTATTTGGGGGTTTTTTTTGGTGCTTAGCTTTTTGAGTTCTTTATGTACACTAGAGATTAGTGCTCTATCTAATGTGTGAGGGGTAAAAATTTGCTCCCAGGATGCAGGCTTTCTGTTCACCTTACAGATTGTTTCTTTTGCTGAGAAGAAACTTTTTAGTTTGATTCCATCCCATTTATTGATTCTTGGTTTTAATTCTTGTGCTATAGGAGTCTTATTAAAGAAGTTGGGACCTAACCCACATGATGAAGATTAGGGCCTACTTTTTTTCTAGTAGATGCAGAGTCTCTGATTTAATTCCCAGGCCCTTGATCCACTTTGAGTTGAGTTTTGTGCATGGTGAGAGATATGGGTTTAATTTCATTTTGTTGCATATGGATTTCCATTTTTCCCAGCATCATTTGTTGAAGATACTATCTTTTTTCCAATGCAGGTTTTTGGTGTGATTATGTTTGTCTAATATAAGATAATTGTAATTTTGTGAGTTAGTCTCTGTGTCCTTTATCTTGTACCATTGGTCTACCAGTCTGTTTTGGTGCCAATACAATGCTGTTTTTGTTACTGTTGCTCTGTAGTATAGTTTAAGGTCTGGTAGAGTGATGCCACCTGCTTCATTCTTCCTTCTAAGGATTGCTTTAACTATTCTGGGTCTTTTATTTTTCCAGATGAATTTTATGATTGCTTTTTCTGTTTCTAAGAGGAATGTCATTGGCATTTTGGTCAGAATTGCATTAAATCTGTATAGTACTTTTGGTAGTATGGTCATTTTGATAATATTAATTCTGCCTATCCAAGAGCAAGGTAGATCTTTGATTTCTTTCTTTAGGATTCTGTAATTTTCATTGTATAGATCTTTCACCTATTTCATTAAGCTGATTCCCAAGTATCTTAATTTTTTTTTTTTTTTGAGGTTATTGGAACAAGACAGGAATGCCTCTTTCACCACTTCTATTCAACATAGTTTTTTAAACACTGGCTAGAGCAATTAGACGAAAGAAATTAAAGGGATACATATAGGAAAAGAAGAACTTAAATTAGTACTATTTGTTGATGATATGATTCTATACCTAGAAGACCCAAAAAGCTCTACCAGAAAACTTCTAGAACTAGTAAATGAATTTAGCATAGTTGCAGGATATAAAATCAACACCCATAAATCAAAAGCATTTCTGTATACCAGTAACAAATCCTCTGAGAAGGAAATGAGGAAAACTACCTCATTTACAATATACTCAAAATATTTTAGAGAAACGTTTTCTTATATAGGTTAGGACAACATGAATCTGAATTACTTTGCAAATAAAAGATGACCCTTCTTTTGTTAATTTGTCATACTGCAATTATTTTTATTTTATTTATTTATTTATTTTTGGTGCTGGAGATTGAATCCAGGGCCTCATGTATGCCAGGCAAAATGCTCTATCACTGATCCACATTCCTGGTGCATCTGCAGCTATTTTTTAAAAAGTCAGAGAAAAACATTATGTTTATCATGTGTGATTATGTTTGCAATAGCTTTTATGTATGTCATAAAGCAGACAAAATTAGCAGCATAAATAATCAGAGCTAGGAAAAGATATGGTTAGGCAGCTTGAACTGAGAGTCCAGGTACTGAGACCCCAACTGAGCAGGATCAGCTATCCACTGAAGTCATATGCTATCATGAGACTGTGAGACAAAGTGACATCTTTGTGTCAAGAACAATATTAAGGAGGAATGCAAAGAATCTTGAACCATGAACCTGGGTAAGAATATAGATACCTCTTACAAGAGCATGGTGAGCTGGGCAAGGGGGCTAGGCAGTAATTGATCAGAGATATACTTGTAGCAGGCACCCATTTGGTCAGTTGATCAAGTTATATTCGCAAGAAATGTAAGAGAGAACATAAAGTGGCTAGTCTGAGAGGCTGGGCTAGTTTAGCCAAATATTCTATATTATGAGCTTGTTTTGTTTTGGTAGTAAAGACATTCTGTCCTTCTAATGGAGCAGTCCTGGTCTATGCTGTCATTCAATGTAAAAGGGCAAAACCCTGTATAGCAGTAATGGTCTGTTGAGTGTCTGGCTACGTACCCATTTACATTTTTCATTCAAAGCATGTAAAGGCCAGAGATATGACTCAGTGATAGAGCAGTTTTCTAGCATGCACAAGGCCCTGGATTTGACCCCCCCAGCACAGTAAAAATAATAAAGTGAATAAATAAAAGTATATACTCATTTTATTTTAAATGGTTGAACTTACCAGTAAAAGGAGTTGAAGTCAAGAAGGAATTGTGAATAGAATGCTCAACTTTAAATTGTATGCACAGTATATTTTCATTGAGGAATAATTGTTAATAAAAATTATTTGTAGTCTTTTTAATTGCCCTTTTATAATATAATTTAATTAATGATGAAATCTTATAACCTTTTTCTTAGCATACATCTGTGGATGGATATACGGAACCACACATCCAGCCTACCAAATCAAGTAGCAGACAGAACATCCCCCGGTGTAGAAACTCCATTACATCAGCAACAGATGAACAGCCTCACATTGGAAATTACCGTTTACAAAAAACAATAGGGAAGGGGAATTTTGCCAAAGTGAAATTGGCAAGACATGTTCTAACTGGTAGAGAGGTAAGTTTTTATGATGCCTTTTAATATTTGCCTGGACTTCTCCAGAGTGTTGTGAAAGAGCTTTCTTAATAGTTGATGTTGAGGAATAAATGACAGTTGCAACATGTGATTTATTATGTGTGAATGGAACATTAGTAAACTGATCTATATCATGGCATAAAATTTGATCTTTTAGCATTTAGGAAAGATTCATCCCTACATATTAACATCTCTTGTAAATCAGATGTGCTGCAATTGAGCAACTTTTGGCCTTCCATCTTTTATTATATGATTTCTGTAAACATTTCTGATTACCATTGCTACTAATCTCAGGAGCAAGGCTAGGATAAGCTCTTAGCTTAAGGTAAGCTAAGTGCTAATATGTAGAAAATTCCCCACTAGTTTTTGTTTAGAGACCCCAGTAAATGAATGTTGCTATACAGGTGGTTTTCTCAGTGATAAGAGAATTGGATTTCTAAAATCCCTTGTGTTTTAAATAATCTGTACTTGTGTGGTAAAAATTTATATATTTGCACATTGTACATTTTATATATATGTCTGTATGTTTGGGTTAAAGACTTCATTTAAATAAATAGCTCACGATCTTATTATGTAATGTTTACTAGATCTGATTAGGACATTATTTTTAAAAGTCTCAACTACAAAATTACTTTAATATTTTCACTTTATGTATACTTTTATTGTCATTTTCCATTTAATTTAGTTCATTCTAACCCTAAGAGCTGTTTATATACAGGTTATACCAGATGGAGCGTTCAGTGATATTTAAATCCATTTTGCCTTTTTGCTATAAGAAGGCTTACATAGCTAATCTCTGTATCCATCTAATCATTTTATTCACATAATATTTTAATTACTACATATTTATAAGTTATCCCCCTATATTTGTTGCTTATTGAGATCATGAGTAAACAATTAAGATACAGGGGTGATTTTTACAGTAAAAGAGAAAACTTGGAATAAATAGCAAAGGCTTAATTTCATTGACACAGGATCAGATATGTTAAAGACAGGTCAATGGAATATATTCTAAGACTGACAAGTTTGCAAAACTAGCAATATCATGAATACTCAAATAGAACTAAATAATGCATAGTTAGGAATGAAACAAAAGACATTTTCTTTGTAAGTTTTTATTCATTAAAATATATATTCTCAAATACAGCTTAATGATTCTCTTTTCTAGGTTGCTGTGAAAATAATAGACAAAACTCAGCTAAATCCTACCAGTCTACAAAAGGTAATTAATTTAGCATGTAATTAGAATGTGAGTTTATTATTAATACATAAAGTTCTATAAAGTCAGTTATCTGAATTCTTCTATTAAGTACAATACTACATTTCATACATATATGAAGAAAAAACATGATATAAAACATAACGTTTACAAATAAATAGTTGTTTGAAAAATATCTACTGCAGGTTGAGTCCCCTTTACCCAAAAAGTTTGGGAATAGAAGTGTTTAAGATTTCAGAGATTTTTGGATTTTGGAATATTTACATAGACTTTATTGTAATGCATATTCCATATGAAAGGAATTTATCTCTTTTAATTGAGAAGAATAAAACTTTGTATCATATTTTGAAGTATTCAGGCTTCTTAGTTTAAAATCTAGTTTTGAGTTAATATGATAACAAGTGAGTTTTCTTTTATTGCTTCACTTAGCTCTTCTTTTTTCTCATAGCACTTGCCTTTCAGATTACTCACAGTAAAAGACAGGAATATTTCTTTAAAGAGTGAAAAAACAAAACCACATGGGGAGAAAAAAGAGCAGTTAGAATGGGAATTATCCTGGTAAACCAAAGTTGTTTCTTGTTACTTCATTTATTACTTCAATGGGAAAACTTTCTCAGATGTACATTTTCATATTTTAAAAATGAAGCAAGTAATTTATTGTTAGGCCGTGTATACTGTTTGTATATAGTGAAATTTTATATACATGTATAAATATTTCACATACACATATATATTATTAGATAGATAGATAGATAGATAGATAGATAGATAGATAGATTTGTATTAAAACAGAGTAGGATCATAGTCACATAAGCAAATGTGATAAGACTTTTGGAGTCCCAGAACAGAGAGAAGGAATTTTTATGCCAGGTACAGTGGTGTACCTATAATCCCAGCAGTTTGGGAGACTGAGGCAGGAGGATTGAAAATTCAGAGCCAGCCTCAGCAACTTAGTGAGGCTCTAAGCTCCTAGTGAGATCCTCTTTCAAAATAAAAAATAAAAAGGGTGGGGGATGGAACTCAGTTAAGTGCCCCTGGGTTTGATCTCTGATACCAAAAATAAATAAATAAATAGATAAATAGACAGGTAGATAGACAGATAAATAAATAAATAAAAGAAAGTTTTAGTATGGCATGTTTAACTACATCTGCTATGATTCTAACACTACATTTTAAAATACAGATTTGTGATATCAAAACTTCCTTCCCATTTGGCTTAGTGCCAGATAACTCAAGTATATTTTTATGTCCCTTTAGAGAACTGTCTCTGTACTTTCCTGAGATTCCTTTTAAATTTGACAACCAATATAACTTTTCATAGCACTGATATTTCTGCTCAGTGAGAACATGAAAAGTTTCCTGGATTCTTCTTTTGCAGTGAATGTGAGATAATTATTATGGATTTCTTCTGGGAGAAAATCTCTTCTACATTACCAGTCTTTCAGCTAATGAGGCATTTGTGTGAGTGACAAAGGCATCCTTCTAGGCTGATGCATTACCCAAAGGTGTTATCTTTTACTGGGCTGAAGCCACAGTGGGACAGAATTTTGTTCACCCATTTGAAACACACAGACTACTAACAGTACCCAGGTGTTCTCTCTGTAGCCCACCTAAGTTTTGTTTTTTTTCCTGGATTAAGCCATGGATTACTTTGGCAAACTGAGTGATTTTTAGTGACATTTAGAACTTCTAGCTGGGATACATAATAATGTGATCTCCCACTCTGTCTTTAACAAGGGGTTGCAGAGAACGCTTTAAAGCACAGTTTTAGTTGTTGAAACATTTGAACATGAAGCTGAATGTTGCTTTATTTATCTGCTTTTATTTAACTAAAAGATTTCCTTGTTGATGTTAAATAATTTCTGAAATTAAATAATTTCTGCTAATCTTTGCTGATAAGTGTTGCTTTTTTAAAACAAGCATGTAAAGAATGATGTGATTTTTTATTATAATCGCTAGCACATATTAATTGCACATATTAATGGAATTCACTGCGCTATTTCCATACATGCATAATCATGCATTCGTCATGTCCATTCAGGCATGATATAATTTTGTTTTCCTTAGCCTGTGAAAATAATAGCAAAAGAACAATTGAGATTCACTAATTATAACCAGTATACATTGTTGTTTTTAAACAGTTGCATTTATGTTCATATAGTTGCTTTCTATTAAGTTTTGAGGAGAAAAACAGATCAAGGTTTGATTAGTTCTCATCATTAAAGAACATTCATTTGGCCTTACCTGTCTGCTCAGTAACATCTCCCAGTTGGTCATATCTAAAAATTAAATAATGGAATGAAGGGCAATTCATTTGTTTTCCCTAACATTGTCAGGTAAGTTCTCTTGGTAAAGAAAAAAATAGTAAAATATGCCTCCATGTCAGGTATGCATACTAAAAGGCAGATAAGAAGATACTTAAGGGGGCTGGGAATGTGGCTCAGGCGGTAGCGCGCTCGTCTGGCATGCGTGCGGCCCGGGTTCGATCCTCAGCACCACATACCAACAAGAATGTTGTGTCCGCCGAGAACTAAGAAATAAATATTTTAAAAAAAAAATTCTCTCTTTCTCTCTCTCTCTCTCCCCCCTCTCTCTCAAAAAAAAAAAAAGATACTTAAGAATTCATTTTAATCACACCTTCACAAGTATTTTGTTAACTCTTGTTCTGGTTCTATCTGAACTTAGCTATCCCCTCTTTCATCCTCTTCATGCATAATATATTTATAAGGACTATTGCCTGCCTTTGCCAACATCAATAATAGATAAATGAATCTAGATTTGGACTGGAGATGTAGCTCAGCAATAGAGCACCTCATACATGAGGTCCTGGGTACAGTCTCCAGTACTAGGGGGTGGGGAGGAAGAGAATCTAAATTTGAGGTGTCATAAGTTTAAAACTTCTAAAATCTAAAGTTCTTAAAAACAGTTTGGTCTTTGGAATTGTTAATTGTCTTCAACATTATTCATTAATATGGTCATTATTTGTGTCATGTATATTAAATTAATGGGATCCAATTTGATGAGTTTTCAAAGTTTAAAAAGTGTTTGAGATAGATATTATAACTTCCTCTTCAAAGTATGAGTCCCACCTCATGTATTTGTGTTTTTTTGAGAATGACCCAGAACCCGTACTAGTGATCCCTGGGGTTCTTTTAAGCAATGTAGTAACGTTGAAGGAAAACTAACACAGTAAAATGGTTTTGTTCATAGTTAATAAATTTCAAATGTATAATCATAATTTTCTCATAAATTCCACTACTTTTGAAATGTGGACATGTTAGTTTATGCACAGATGGCAAAGTGTGTGTTAATCTGGCTTAGTTCAGAGTCACTAGCATGCAGTTCATCTCTGCTAACATTTTTTTCTCTTGTGTATTGTTTATTTTAATTAATTAATTTTGGTACAAGATATTGAACCCACTTAACCACTGAGTCACATCCCCAGCCTGGCATTGTGTATTGTTTATTAATTTATATTTTCTGTGGTTTTACTTTTGTGTGTGTGTGTGTGTGTTATGTGGTACTAGGGATTACACTCAAGTGCACTCAACCACTGAGCCACATCCCCAGCCCTATTTTGTATTTTTTATTTAGAGACAGGGTCTCACTGAGTTCTTAGCATCTCACTTTTGCCAAGCCTGGCTTTGAACTCAAGATCCTCCTGTCTCAGCCTCCCAAATGACTGGGATTACAGTTGTGGGCTACTGAGCCAGGCTGTGGTTTTACTTTGTTACATAATATTCCATCCTCACAAAAATGGCCCAGTGGTTCAGAAGTGATTCCTGGGTGGTAAAACCTATAATGAAAATAAAGACAAGACTGTTACAACTTAGAATTACATTGTTAAGTAACAGAGGACAGCTGCATTAAAGTTATAAATGATGTAATTCACAGTGGTAGGATAGTGATTTTGCGGAAGTACTCCTACTTATGAAATTGTAAAAAAATTCAGTAATTGACATCTTAATTAAAAAATCCATTTATTGCTAGTGTCTGGTGGCCTAAGCCAGTTGAACTTCTGTGCATTTTCAGATAATGCCAAGAAACCTTTCTGATAATCTAGTTATATTTTCCAGAACTGCAAAACAATCTCTTTTATGTTGAAGAATTTGGTCACTAAAGATAGAGAAAAGAACAGAATTACAGAAGAAATATTGAGAATTTTAACATTTCTTAGCAGATTACCAAGAAACTAGGTTTATAAAACCAGATCACAAAATTATTGGAAAATATTTTGATCAAGGCAAAAGCAGCAGAAGCTCTTTGGTGCTGTTCCTTAACAGATGTCTCTGTTGGACATATGTTGAACTATCAGTTCTCCTCATGTATCCATGCTTTAAGTTCTCTTAAAAAAAAAAGTATATTTCATTTTATAGCTGAGCAACACCACCTACGAGTTCTTTTTTCCATAGTTCTTGTCACATGTGTGGAATGAAAAATCTTGACCAATGCTTATGTAGGTCAGTGGAAACCTAAGTGATACTTAGATTTGCAGAGTTGTAGACTGAAAAGTTGTTTTGAATCAGAAATGATGAGGTACCTATGGAGGTTTTCTTTTCATTTTCTTCTTTCATTCTGCAAAAATGATACTGTCATGTGAGTAAATAAGATTATACCTAATGTCCAGCCACTCATTGCTTTATTTTCTATGAAGAGTGGATAGTAACATGCCTCTGATCTTGATCTGGTTTTAAAGAAAATACTGAAAAATAAGGATTATCATAAAATCATAGCTAAGAGTTATTCTTTAGCATACAATGTGAAGAATTGATGGGAAGTGTGTCTTTTACTTTGAAATAAGATAGGTTTTGAGAGAAATAACATTCTAACAAGTTTTTAAAAAGAAAGTGATAATAATATAATATTAATATAAATCTAATATATAAATAGTTTAAATGTTGAGGAAAAGATAACAAGATTTGCTGTAAAGAATCAAGCTGTTTCAAGCAGTTCGCTGACTAAATATCTGATGTCTAAAACTCATTTGCTCTCTTTAGTTATTG